CGTGGCTGGCGCCTTAGCCGGTTGAGCTATAGGCGCCGAGCCAAAAAGCACGATTTTTAAACGTTAGCTGTAAATTTACATTTTTTTGTTACTTGTTTTTGAAACAAGGTCTTACTATGTTGCCCAGGCTGGTCACTAAATGTACAGGTTTTTAAAATATTGTGCCAGCCAAGGAGCCAGGCAAGGTGATCCATGCCTATAGTATCAGAACTCCGGGAGGCTGAGGCAGGTGGATTGCCTGAGCACACAAGCTCGAGACCAGCCTAAGCCACAGCGAGATCCCATCTCTAAAAATAGCCTGCCATTGTGGCAGGCGCCTGTAGTCCCAGCTATTCAGGAGGCTGAGGCAAAAGGATATTGTACCAGCCAAAAAGAGACGCTCTAGGCACTGGAATTCCTACCTCTGTGCTCTGGCCTAAAATCTAAACTTCCCAAAGGCAGAGCAATCTGCTGTACCCTGGATACGTATACTCTTCTATAATTGAAAGTTTCCCACTGAATGTATACTGACTTTAAAAAACTTTTTTGGGGGGCAGCGCCTGTGGCTCAGTGACTAGGGCACCGGCCCCATATAACGAGGGTGGCAGGTTTGAACCTGGCCCCAACCAAACTGCAACAAAAAATAACCAGGCATTATGGCAAGGGCCTATACTTCCAACTACTTGGGAGGCTGAGGCAAAAGAATCGCCTAAGCACAGGAGTTTGAGGTTGCTGTGAGCTGTGATGCCACAGCACTCTACCAAGGGTGATAAAGTGAGACTCCATCTCTAAAAAAAAGCTTTTTCAGGCCAAGAGCAGTGGCCTGTAATCCCAGAGCACTGGAAGGCCAAGGCAGGTGGATTGCTTGAGCTCAGACATTTCAGACCAGCCTCAGCAAGAATAAGACCCTCATCTCTACTAAAAATAGGAAAACTAGCTGGTGTTTCAGCAAGCACCTGTAATCCCAGCTACGCCAAGAGGATTGCTCAAGCCCAAGAGTTTCAGGTTGCTATGAGCTATGGCATCACAGCCCTGTACCAAGGGTGACAAAATGAGACTCTATTTAAAAAAAATTTTTTTCAACAACTAATTTTTAAAAATAACTTCATATTTATAACAACCCTGCAGTACAATCACACCTTTAGAGAAACTCAGCTAGAACATAAGAAAAACGGAATCACAAAAGTATTACAGGCTTGGCACCTGTAGCTCAGCAGCTAGGGCATCAGCCACGTACACTGGAGCTGATGGGTTTGACTACAACCAAAAAATACCCTGGTGACATAGTGAGCCTCTGTCTCAAAAAAAAAAAGTTATTACACAGTATTAATACATAATAGCTATATTACTTTTTTTTGTTTTTTGAGACAGAGCCTCAAGCTGTCGCCTTGAGTAGAGTGCCGTGGCATCACAGCAACCTCCAACTCCTGGGCTCAAGTGAGTCTCCTGCCTCTGCCTCCCAAGTAGCTGGGACCACAGG